AAGAAAGAGAGAGAAAGAAAGAAAGAAAATAACAAAAAGAAAAGAAAATTGGGGGTAAAAGTAATTCCAGAACTGAAAAATACAATAAACAAAAGAACTTTATAGATGAGTTCAGTAATAGATTAGACACAGTTATAGAGGGAATTGGGGAACTGGTAGATAAATTAGAAGAAACTATGATGAAGCACAAATATGCAAAAATATGAAAAATACAGAACTAGGAGATATAGGGAGAAAAAAGAACACATGCTTATTTGGAATCCCAAAAGTGTAAGAGAGAAGAAATAGAGCAGAAGCTAAGATACGATTTTTATATCCACTATCCACTGAATATTTATTTCTGATAGCTCACTGAGGCATCCCCTCACATTCTCTGCTGTACATTGAGGATGAGTTATGGTTCCAAATAAACAAGCCAAAGGTGACAGTAACAGAAGCATTCAGCCCCAGCACCAAGAGTAGTGGCAGAAAAAGTCTCAAGTTAAAGGAGGCAAAACATGGAGAACATAAAAATGGAAAAAGGAAAAATCTGAAAGTTCATTGTTCAACATAGATTATGGTAATTGCATTATTTGGAATCTGGACATCAATAGCCATATTTTGTCAGGTCTTGTTAAATATGAAGAAATTCTGGAAATTGAGGCATTGAATGATGCTGATGGTGTTGTAGAATCTTAACGTGGATAATGCTAAAGTCTTGTTAGTACATAAAGGAAGTTCTACTTCAATGTGATTACTTTTATCAGAAGAAACTAAGGAACATTTAGAGTTAGAAGTAGAGATTCCAACTGAATCAGATTTCAAGTATAGTAAAGATATCAAAGAGCAAATTTAGTCCCTTCTCTATGAAATAGTAGACACACAACATGTAGAAGACAGCAATAGAGAGAAGATGCACCAGCAAGAAAATAGCCACTCGAAAGTGAAGATAGACAGCAAGGATATTAGGTAGATGATAAATTTGAGTACCTGGAAGTGAAAACATTTTATAAAGAAACTGAAGATACATAACGTGTACAAGTGAGTTTGTAGGAATATAATCAGAAAGTGGAAGAGATACTATATTAGAGAAAATCCTAGATTCCCCTGAAAGATTATGCCATATTATCACGATATAGCATACCAAGATAATAGTCAACAAACATGTGAACTACAGAAAATATGACATAAATTTCAGATACTGCTGGAGAAGATTCAAACACAGGTTTAGAAAAAGTAATTGTCCCTGGCCGGGCGCGGTGGCTCAAGCCTGTAATCCCAGCACTTTGGGAGGCCGAGGCTGTCTCTTATACACATCTAGATGTGTATAAGAGACAGGGGACTGCAGGAGCCCGCCACCACGCCCAGCTAATTTTTTGTGTTTTTAGTAGAGACGGGGTTTCATCATGTTAGCCAGGATGGTCTCGATCTCCTGACGCCGTTCCACCCACCTCGGCCTCCCAAAGTGCTGGGATTACAGGCGTGAGCCACCACGCCCAGCCAAAAACTTTTAAAGTGTAATGTTCAACACATAATTAACAGTATCCAAACACATAAGGAGAAAGTACACTGTGAGTGAGAATCAGCAGAAATGAAAGAAAACAGAAACAGACACACATTGAGTCCATACATTGCAAACATGCATAAAATGTTCCAGGAGAAAAAAAAATGAGCTCACAATTTTTG